CAAAACAATACCTACTTATAAAAAACTAATCAAAGTTTAGGAGTGGGGGCTAAAACGTCATTTCTACGTCTCTAGAAGTGACGTCACGCGATATTTCAAATCTATCGTCGAAAGAATTTGTTTCCGTAAGTAAATAAAAATACGTGTCTAATGTTTAATAATAATATAACAGATGGATATTAAATTAAAAATTAGTCATCTACTCTATTGAATGACTATCATGCAGATAGCAGATATATTGTAAAGTTCTTAAATACCTAGGTAAACAATTGAGGATTAGGATTCTATCCCTTAAGTTTAATATTATAAGTTCCTTATTGCTTTAAAGTTTGCCTACAGTGGTCTCGATTTTACTTTAAACCGAATTGCGGATGTATGAATCGATACCAATGTCTCAAGCGATGATTGAATACGATAATGCTTATCAATACATTAGAGTATATTTTAGAATATTAAAAGTAGGTTAGACCTAGATTTAATTGAGAACAAACATGCCTATATAATGTATTTTCGAGATATAGTAATTAAGCCAATCAGTGTTTTTATTTTACTTGTGTGTTATATTTTAAACTCTCTACAGACCGTCATGGAATACCGTTATCTATACTAATAATAATTATATTAAAGTTAAAAAGTTTGCTGTCGCTAATCTCAGTAACTGCCGGTCGAATATAGATAAAATTATTTTGCATTTGATAGCCCGATTCGGGACACAGCACGTACGGTTCTAATGGTGTTACAGTTCGCTGTCTGATTCGATTAGACTGTGTTGGCATATCTACAGGCGAATTCAGAAGGGGTCGAATTTATTTTTAAATTACTTTAATAGTTTTAAATGTTCTACATTTTTATTAAATATTTATTTTTAACAGTGCGACCATTATACTTAGAATCAAGTTAGTAAGTAACCCTAAATCTCTGTAATATCTCAAAATCCGCTATTCCTACCACGTAGTTCGTAGCGCATAGTGTAGATCGTAGCGCTACGACGCATAGTTGGTAGTGCATTGTTTGTAGTGCGTAGTTCGTAGCGCGTAGTTTACATTGCGTAGCAGAATATTCACATACATATTCATTTCGTAGGCGTGCAAACCGTGGACTGAACTGAAGTCGCACGGAAAGAGATTACAAAATTCGTGGGTTTGCCATTTTGTTACTTCAAAAACTATTGTACAATTAACAGAAAAGTAATTAACATTGTACCCCATTAAGAATAACGATTCTTGATGAATAGTAAAGGTCTGGAGGCTTATCTGCTATCTAAGAATACATTGAAGGGATCTCTAACGCTTTTGTAACAGGAACGTTTGTCTACAATCTTTATCAAGAAACGACTTCTAGATATAATAAAAAGAAAACTATTGAAAGGAATCATGAATGAATTTGTCAAGTTACCAAGGAATATAACTAGAAGACTTTGTGCCTGTTACTAAGCACTTATCAAGTGTAAATATCATGACTAAGTTATTAGGACTTAGAGCAAAGTGGTTAGCTCGGTAGAAACCGCTAGCTTAGTAAGGACAGATATTAAACCATTAATTAAACTGAATGGATGGCGATGTCAGACCGTTACGCTACAGCGCACACAAGGGCTTCTGCCTATAAGTAATTAATTAACATTACATCATCACTGTTCTTAGAGATTTAGGCTGATGTTAGTGAGACTTGCAGATTGTAACTACCTACTTGTCTACTAAGGTTATGGTTCTTGACTGTGAAGGAAATGTCTGGCTAATTTGAGAATGAGACTCAAACACAATCTCACGTGATAGCTATTATCTTCACAAGCTAATCAAAGATGTTTAAGTTCACTCCAAATCTTCTTAAACCCATGTCGTTCCAGTTCAATAACTTAAATAGGGTAATTAAGTACTTTGACGGTAATTACTCTAATTAACTTCCTATAAATTAAAGATGTCAAAAATAATTGAACTTCTAAAGTCATTAAGTGGACGAGCACAGAACGTTTAATATGTCTTCTGCAATATCTTCAATTTGACAACCCTGAAAGTAAGTAAAAGAAAAAGATTGTCACTTGAGACACTCACAATGGGACAAGTATCGAAGAAAGTGAGGAAGAAAGTCAATTGGCAACTGCCAGCAATCAAAATTAAAAAAGAAATGAAATTAAAATGGCGGTCGTATCTCCACGCATGCGCGTGCCATCGACTTGCCTAGCTAGCACTGGCCGGCGGCAGTTCGCCGTTTGCATCGCGTTGTGATGTTCGCGCTCGAATGGGAGGCGCGGGATGGGCGCGCGGCGAAGCGCGCGTTGCTGATGACTCGGACTTTGAAGCACTAAAGAAGCTCCTCGAATCAGAAGTTGGCTGGACGCTGGAGTACGAGAAGGATGGTGTCAAAGTTTGGGCAGAAGACGCGGCACACGGCGCGCTCCGAACTGTCAAGGTGTGTTGTTGTATTCACAATTGAAAACAAATAGTAAATAGCTGTTTCTATGGGTACCTAAAGCCTACTATTGTACTCAGCAATTCTAGTTTGAACTGGTTATTACTTACCAGTGTGATAGTCATTACTTAATAGAAATTCATTTATTAATATCAGATAACATGTAACCTTGTAATTTGTGGCAATAAAACATAAATGTTTATGTTTAGGTAGTATATACCTGTGCCCGGGTACCCGCAGCTGCGTTGGCAACTTTTTTTACTTTGTCACCACTTTGCGATACCAACAAGTTCGGGACACTGCTTTCGCAGAATTATTAACATAATCAGAAAAGTTTTGGCAACTGTTTGAGCAATCCTCGTCTAAGTGAACGTTTAAACTTGTATACAGTCGTTCCAAATTGTACGAAGTGAGAAAATTTATGAAAATGAGATTTCCCCTTTTGGTATTTTTGAGCGTCATGATGTCATTACGTATGCGGATGTTGGTGGTAAATGGAAGTGTACACGGAATACACATATCTCCAAGGTTATCTAATGCAAGGACGATTTCCCCTATCATATGGGTACTATTGACTTTTATTTTAAAACCACAAACGCAGACCTGCATCGAATGATTAAAATTGCGATTGCTAAGTGAGAGGTCACTACTTCTTTCTCCGGTTTCTAAATAATTATATGTATTTACAATTAGATTACAAGTTTACCCTTTCAGAAATATACTATGAAGAGTGATATTATGTTTATGACTTATATTTTAATGTTCCAATGAATTAGATTCGACCATTTCGAAAATGCCCCAAAAAGGGCCCTAAAGTCTGATGGGTCTAAATTCCTAGTTCCTATTTACTAAGTATAGGTCTTTTATGCTAAAAGTTTTGTAACAACAGTCGTGTTGAATTTAACTGTTAATTTAATATAGTAACTAGTTTGAGCATTCGGGGTATGCTAGATTGTGACCTTCATCCGTTTTCGTTTACGACCCGAGTTTGTTTAGGTCCAATTTTGCAATTAAGACAAAGTTCGTTTGTGTCGGTATGAGGAGTGCTCTGCATTTTGATTTTATTACCTATAGGGATATAGCTACATTTTACTATACTAACTTACTTTCGTTATTCTAGGTATAACATAACACATCAAGCCTTTTATCTCTGAAGGGGTAGGCAGAGGTGCACATTATGCCACTGTATACTTAGCATTGATCTTAATATGGACTTATTTAATAGTATCTCAGTTTGTAAAGTTCATAAAAGAGACTTACAGATGATCGAAGAGGAGATATGTACTTAAATGGTACCTATTTCAATCATTCCGATTTATTTCAACAGTCTCCATTCTATGCATAAATGAGATACGGTTCATTGGCAAAGATCCTGAGGATGTGTCATGGAGGAGCGATACATATGTAGAGTGTGGTTCGAGAGGTTTGTTGCGTGGCCTGTGTGTGTTTTGTGTAGCATATCTGTTGCATGACCGTTTATCTGCGGGCGGAAAAGCAGTGCTGCATACTGCATGCCGCTTTATACCTTCAACGGAATAAAAACTAAATATTATCCCAGTTGTTAGTGATAGACAATAAATAATACATACTCCATTTAACCCTTTGAGTACCGTCATTATAGACACAATTAAATTGTCAAACACCAAGCTGTCACCAGTGACCGCAACCTATTGTTCTATAATTGTGTCTATAATGGTACTCGACGAGTTAAAGAATAATAGGTTGCGGTCACCGGTGTCCTTATGCCATAAAAAAAATTAGGAACAAAATGATTTTAAAAATATCCATACTCGTTTCCTTCACTCAGAATAAAAGTGTCTTTTAAAGAAACCAATTTCCTTAATCCCATCAAAAGCTTCAAAAATCCAGGAAATTTCCACAACACAGTAATCTCGTTTAGAATAAACAGTCCAGATTCTCTGAAGCTATTTTCATAATACTCATGTAAGTTTTACAGTGCACTAGATAACAGTACATGGAAATTAGATAAGTGTTTGTGTGGATTAAGTAATGGAGTACGTAATGTGAGTATGTGAGGGTGCGCGCTGCGTTTAGCCAATAACACAATACCCAGGTATTTTAAAAGCTGTTCTCCGCATGTGCTCATTTCATTGATGCTGCCTGAATGATTTCAGCTTACATTTTTGACTTAAGTTGTGGACAATCCTACTTCCTACTATCCTATCCTACTACAGGATGTGTGTGTGTGTTTTTTTTAAGGTGGGATAATCATCGAATGACTGCTCCCACCTGAGTGAGGCGGGAGGGAGTGTCAGACTCTTACTGACTAAAAACCGGGGTGGTTTTTAGTCAGTAAGAGTCTGACACTCCCTGCACGTCAAGCCGGAGCCCCGGTTACCCGTTAGGTTCTCCGTGACTGTGTGTGAGTGTGTGTGTTTGTGTGTTTGTTACTCTTTCACGTCAAAACGACTACAGGAATTGGGATGAAATTTAGAACAGTGGTAGATTATGGTATAGAATAATACATAGGCTAGTTTTTATCCCAAGGGAAACGGACGCAAAGCTGCTGGCTAGCATTATATTGTTTTCTTAATCCATTGTTTAGTTTGGTTGGAGAATCTACTGCTTATTATATGCTATTGGATCAAAGTCTCATCAAATTACTCATGCAACTTTAGACGAGGTTACTTCACTAGTTTTAAGCTAAACTAATAATTGTGAGGTTGCTGATCATTGATTTTTAATTTCTACAAACTTTTGGCATTGTTTATTATGTTATTAGCTTACTCACGTAACTGTTTGATGAGGAACTCGCCTAGTTTCAAGCCATGCTAGAAGCTCATATTCATGAGCAGCATTTCGCGACCCGCGACGTGGCGACTGAATAATGTTTTGCATTGATGATCATTTGACTGAGGTTTTGGCATTATGTTGACGACACATCTTCCGACTCTATATTCTCATCTCCCAAAATCACTTGTAAACGAATAACTTGTTTATTTTACCCCATAAATCTACCAGTTATGGTATCCGTCATCTGTTATATTGTGTCACAATCTAACTCCAGCTTTATAGCTTCACCCACAATGCGTGTTTTATCGCCCTAATTCATAATATCTTGTTATTGTTTGCCTATATCGGTTACAAGTGATTCAGGATGAGCTTAGTAAAATTAATAGGCCTAACATAATATTGTTATACCTCAGTTTGTTGAGGTGGTATATGTTGAAGTGAGTTGTAGGATTAATGGGAATTATGGGAACACACAATGAGGTTTTTGGAAGGTTTTTCGTAAGTTATTCCATAGTCTTCTAACTCTTAATGTCATTTTCACCAACTATCTCTAAACCATTTCTTAACTAAAACTTATTTAGCATGACGTAGTTCATAAACTAATCCATTACTTGTACTTTTACGTGTTACTTACCGGTTGATGAAAACCAAAATATCGTTAAATGCCACCTATCTTAGCTTAAGGGTTCTTTAAAATTTAGGAGAGGTAAGTTAAGGCACTAGTATATTATTCTCAGTAGGGGTAGTAATTGTAAGGACAGTAAGTAAGAACCTTCCGTGGGTTGTATTTCATCCTGGAGAGTATTCCATTGTAATAGGGTGCGACCCTTTTGTTGGGTCCCGGCCGCAATTTTTTTTACACCCAACGAGGCGTTGTGTTAGGTTTATTTAATATCAGAATGTCTTTTTCGTTTTCAATCATCTCCTCCTCTTGCAACATTATCTTATCAGTTGTGCTATGAGTCTATCAATTTACTTATCTTGTTCAAGTTCAGGCTACACTCTGAAAGGTGGCAGTCAGTTAAGAGTCTGACATTCTCTCTCTCGTCTTAACCAATGCGGAAGAGATCATTGGATGATTTTCCCCCTAAAATAATTATCTACTATTAAACCTAATAGTAGATAATTATTTTGCGGGTGGCGAGTTGTCGTTCGACGTGGAGGACTAAGGGGGAGGCCTTTGTCCAGCAGTGGACATCGTCTGGCTGTGGATGATGATGATGATGATGATACCTAATAGTAGGTACTTGGTCAGCTCGGTAACCAAATGCTCGAGTTCAGCTAACACAAGGTGCTTTTACATAAGGCAGAGTCAATATAAAGGGCATACTTCTGCACAAAGTACAGTATGTTTAATAAAATGTGTGTAATTTGAGTGCATCGTTGGCCGAGTGGTTGCAAGTGCGACTGTCAGGTAAGGGGTCTCGAGTTTGATTCCCGGGTCGGGCAAATTATTATCGAGTCTGTAATTGTGCCCAGTATAAGGCAAAAGGCTCACCCCCTATTACATGGGACTCATAACATAAATAGTGAAAAGTGGGAGTTACTTCTGTGTGCACCTCTGCCCACCCCTTCGGATCCCCGAAGGGGTGGGCAGAGGCTTTATCCAAAAGGCGTAATGTTATGTTATGTAATTTACCTAGAGAAGGATTTTGCGGTGAGCACATGGGATCCAACCGAATATACAGACGTTTTTATTTGACCTTGCTTTATCTTCACGAATCACTAGTCAAAGCCCCGTTAAGGTTTGACAGATTGAACGGCTTTGGGGGGCTGTAAAGCTATGAGCAATTTTGTTTTATAAATTTGGTTGTTTTAGTTTTTATCAAACTGTCAAACGCCGCGAGGACACCGGTGACCGCAACCTATTATTCTTTAACTCGTCGAGTCGGTACTCGACGAGTTGTAAGTAATGACGGTTCATTATAGACACAATTATAGAACAATAGGTTGCGGTCACCGGTGACCGCTTGGTGTTTGATAGTTTAATTGTGTCTATAATGACGGTACTCAAAGGGTTAAATGGAGTATGTATTTTTTATTGTCTATCACTAACAACTGGGATAATATTTAGTTTTTATTCCGTTGAAGGTATAAAGCGGCATGCAGTATGCAGCACTGCTTTTCCGCCCGCAGATAAACGGTCATGCAACAGATATGCTACACAAAACACACACAGGCCATGCAACAAAACTCTCGAACCACACTCTACATATGTATCGCTCCTCCATGACACATCCTCAGGA